TAGAGCCGGGCAAGCACACAGAGACCACACAGAGCCGGGCAAGTAAAAAAACTTTTTTTTAAAGTATATGTGTAGGCTATATTTGGACCATAAGACGCAGGGACTTTTCCCCCCCACTTCTGGGGGAAAAAAAGTGCGTCTTATGGTCCGAAAAATACGGCATATAGGATTAGAGGCCTGGTACATGAAATTCGTACACGAGGTGTCTCTCAGCCCAGCCTGTACCCTCTATAATCTGGGACCCCTTGAGGGATGTCCTCCTGCCCATTTAGGCCTGATCCAGTCTAAACAGGCAGTCAGTCATCCCTCCCACAAACCAGGACTGCTGGCTCCCAACCGATCGCCTGACTGCCTGATTACCCCTAACCACTTCTGCCTGCCAGCCTGTTTCTCTGCTGGCCTGATTGCTCCTAACTGCCCTCCCTTTCCAGCCCGGTTGCCCCCAACTACCCTCCTCTGCAGGCCTGATCACCCATAACTGCCCTCCCCTGCCTGCCATCTTGTGGTAGCCATCTTTGAACAGCCCATGTGTGTTGGAGTGATGACCATTTAGCATATTATTTTATTATATAGGATAATTACATGTAAAATGTAATTTATGTTAATATTAATGTGTATTATTTTTAAATAAAAATATTTTAAGCATTTTTATGTTTTTAAAAAACATTTTTATTGATTTCAGAGAGAGAGAGATAGAAACATCAATAATGACAATCATTGATTGCCTCCTGCACACCCCCACTAGGGATTGAACCCAAAACTCTGGCAGGTGCTCTTATTTATTTTTTTTTAAATATATTTTATTGATTTTTTACAGAGAGGAAGAGAGAGGGATAGAAGTTAGAAAGATCGATGAGAGAGAATCATCGATCAGCTGCCTCTTGCACCCCCCCCTACTGGGGATGTGCCCACAACCAAGGTACATGCCCTTGACGGGAATCGAACCTGGGACCTTTCAGTCCACAGGTCGACGCTCTATCCACTGAGCCAAACTGGTTTCAGCCTGGTATGTGCTCTTGAAAGGAATCAAACCCAGGACCTTTCAGTCTGCAGGCCAATGATCTATCCACTGAGCAAAACAGGCCAGGGCAAGCATTTTTGTTTTAACTTCTGATACAGTGTATGTCAATAGGTAAAACCCACACAAACTAAAGTTATTTGGAGATCTTCAAAACATTTTTAAAATGAAAAAAATATATATTTTAAATGAGAAGGGTTTCTGAGATGAAAACATCTGGGAAGCTCAGGCTAGTGGTGGAAGCCACACGGAAGAGGCCAGAGCATGTCTCCGCAGTGCTCTTTGCATGGAAGTAGGTCCAGTTCCAAAGGGGGCCGCGTGCTTGCTGGGGTTTTCGGCCCTGCCTCCTCTCTGGACCCTATGCAGTCTGCTCTCATAATGAAGATCCAGCATTTGTGCAGACCTGGGTTCCTCATTAGAGGCCGCTCTGACCATGAGGACTTTATAGCTGTGTAATTGCCAAGACGGCAAACAGATTTCCTTCCCTCCCCACTGTGGTGAGAATTGCTGACCCATATGCTACTCGGTTCAGGAGGAAGTGAATGCTGGGTCCTGACTGCAGGCCTCTGGAGAAGGAAGCTAGTGGGTTCTAACTGCGTGTGGTCTCGGGGCAGGAAAAGCAGAGGCCAGGGACCAGAGGGAAAGCCCTGAGACCACTGAGGCCGCTCTCAGCACTGGGTGCTGGGCTGGGAGGGAGGAGCAGCAGCCCTGCTGTCCTCCCTAAGCCTTCGCCCGGCACCTCCTCTGGAGAACCCCTACAACCCTGACCTCACGAGCACCCAGAGGACAGTGTGAGAGGTTCTTCCAAGAACAGTTCCCCTTCACCACATCCCCAGAGACTGGGACACACAAACACAACGCCACCAACTGGGTGAAAGGGCTGACCGCGCTCCAAGTGTTGGGAACGCAGAGCAACTTGAACCCCCACACTCGGCCGGTGTGAGCAGAGCCGGCGCCCTTGGGAGACACATGGTTAAAGTCCCTCAGTGCACCTCACCTCAGCAGGCCACTTGGGTCCCGCCAAGAATGTGGGTTCGAGGCTGGCCCCTGTTAGTGCTTGCATCCTTGTCGAAGGCGCATGGAAGCGAAAGCAGCGGAACCAGGGATTGCAGGAGCAATCCCCCTCTGTGGGCTCTGAGACTGAGGTGCACACCTGTGTCTTTATCCACATTCCTTTGTTAGTTTTTGCTTTAGCACATTTGGTGTTGGTTATTTGCTACTGATAGAGTCCTAACTAAATACTTCCTCTGCAAAGCTCCCCGTACAACTCTGCTCAGTAATGAGCCACAAGTCAGTGTGTAAGCTGCACATTTTCTTTTAAAGCAGTGGTGTGCCAAGGGACCATTGCTTGGTCTGTGCTTACAAGATGTGATGCAGGTCTGAATTAAGGGCCTCTGTGACTTCTTAAACATCTCCCTGGTGTCCTTGAGTGGGATTATAATTCTGATGACATTAAATATAAACAGTTCAAAATTGTATATTAATTACTAGAGGCCCGGTGCATGAAATTGGTGCACAGGGGTGTGTGTCCCTCAGCCCAGACTGCACCCTCTCCAATCTGGGACCCCTTGAGGGATGTCCGACTGCCCATTTGGGGTGAGGAGGGGACCAGGCCTGCAGGGGAGGGGAGTTGAGGGGAACCAGGCTTGCAGGGAAGGGGAGTTGAAGGGTCCAGGCCTGCAGGGGAGAGCAGTTAGGTGGGACCCAGGCCTGCTGTCAGTCATCCCTCTCACAATCCAGGACTGCTGGCTCCCAACTGCTCATCTGCCTTCCTTCCTGATTGCCCCTAACCACTTCTGCCTGCCAGCCTGATCACCCCTAACCACTCCCCTGCCAGCCTGATTGCCTCTAACTGCCCTCCCTTGCAGGCCTGGTCACCCACTGAGCATACAGTATAGCATGGAGCCTGAGTTTTCTGACATTTTCAAGCTATTCTTTATTAATTACCCTTCAGGGTAAGTTGACAAATGAGTTCCCCTGCATTTGAAACGTAATCAGGTAGAAAAGAAAGCTCTCACTCAGGGTGAGCCTGAGGTCAAACTGAAAGGACTCGGAAAGCTGGGAAGCAGGAAAGGAAGCAGGACTTCTCATTAGAGCCACTGTCTACAATACTGAGTCTGCGTGAGCAGACGTGACTCTGGGAAGAGGGTTCTGAGCTGTCCTCAGCTTCTTACAGAAACCATAGCATCCCAAAAGGTGCATGATCCCCGCTCTATACCATCTCTTCAGGGGCCTGGGCAGTACACACAGAGGGGGAGGAGGGAGAGAAGGCAGTTTGAGCACCATGACTTCTGATTTTTTAATTTTTAAAATTTTGTTTAAAGTATTACATGTAGTAGTACATATATCTCCTTTTATTTCCTCATTGACCTTCCCCCAGCCTCTCCTACTCCATCCTATGCCCTCATTCCACCTCCCCCAGTGTCTTGTGTCCATCAGTGTACTTATATGTGAGCATACAAGTCATTTGGTTGATCTCTTCCCCACTCCCCAACACTCCCGTCTTCCCGCTGTGATTTGACAGTCTGTTCCATGCTTTACTGCCTCTGTATCTATCTTTATGCTCATCAGGTTATAATGTTCTTTATTTTTCATAAATGAGTGAGATCATGTGGTGTTTTTCTTTCATTGCTTGGCTTATTTCACTTAACATAATGCTCTCCAGGTCCATCCATGCTGCTGAAAATGGTAAGAATTCATTCTGGTTTTGTTATTGAACTCAGGGGTTCACTATTTGGTGCCCTCTATTAAAAAATGAGATGTGGTTGTCACAAGGAAGTTTTATTTACTTGCAGCAAGTAAAGGAGGAGCCCGGATTCACATCCCACGCTCTGCCTGCGGGAGGGAAGCCAGCCATTGCTTAACTTGGTTAATCACATGTTTATGTCTTCTTTGCAGTTGGCTTCTTAATCAGGTTGGATTCCTGTCAATCTTATCCTGTTTATAGCTGGTCTGCAAAATACTGTGCTACATTTACACTTAGCAAGAATAGCATTTAGTAAGAATGGTCTGGACCTTGAGACTCTTTTCCTAATAGTTTTATTATTTTGTGTCCTATTTCCTTTCTTTTTCTTTTTTTCCCTTTTTATTGAATTTATTTGGGTTCCACTGGTTAACAAAATCATACAGGTTTCAAGTGCACAACTCCACAACACATCACCTGTACACGGGGTCGTGCGTTTACCACTCCAAGTCTCCCTGGGTCACCTTTAATCCCTCCTACCTGCCCCGCCCCCACACTGTTTCCGTGTCCATCAGTTTTCTTTTTTGCTCAATCTGTCCACCCCCTTAGTTGCTCCTTTCACAGCTGTCAGTCTGCTCTCTATCTATGGGTCTGCCTCTATTTTGTTCGTTTATTTTGTACATTAGATTCCACATATGAATGAGATCACGTGGTACACGTCTTTCGCTTATTTCACTTAGCATAATGCTCTCCGGGTCCATCCCTGCTGTGGCAAAGGGTAAGATTTCCTTTTTTAGGGCTGAATAGTAGTCCGTTGTGTAAATTACCACAACTTTTTATCACTCCTCTGCTGATGGATGCTTGGGCTGCTTCTGAATCTTGGCTGCAAAGAACACAGGGTGCTTTTGGTGGGAGTGCAGAATGGCGTAGCCACTGGAGAAAGCATTATGGAATCACCTCAGAAGATTCACCAAAAATGGAACTGCCTTAGGACCTAAGAGTTTCAGGGGGCGCAGCAGGCAACCGGCAACCGGGAGACGTGCTCCTGTGCCCTAGATCTCTGTGCTCTGCACGCACCAGCTATTCCAGCCCCGCTGACAGCTGGAGTTCAAAGCTGTGCTGGGGGCGGGGGGGAGGCGTGTGGCCAGAACGGCGAGTCCCCTCCTCCTTGAGGCCGCGGGCGGCCGGGAGCCACCGCCCGGGAGCCACCGCCCAGGCGCCGCCCGCCGGGAGTGCGCACTCCTTTTCCTGGCGGAGGGAGCGCGCGTGGCCGCGTGCGCCGTCACCAGGCGCGTGACGTCGCGAGGCCGGCGGGCCGTGCGGGAGCGGCGCGCGGGGCGCCGCTGTGAGGCCGGGGACGAGGGCCACGCGGCCGTGTGGGTCCCAGGGCGGAGGCGGCGCGGCGCCCGCGCGGAGAGGGTCGGGGCAGCGGGACGCGCCGGCGATGGGGAGGCCCGGGCCCCGCACCTCTCCCGGGCGCGCGCGCGGCTCCGCGGGCGACCAGTGACCGTCCGGGCGGGGTGCGCCGGGCCGTTCGCCAGGGAGCCGCGGCCGCGGCCGCGGCGGCCGCATGAGGAGCGGCCGGGGCCGGGCCGGGCCTCGCTGACCCCGGCCCCGCGCGCGCGGCGGCCTCTCCCGTTCCGCCCCGGCCTCCCGGCATGAGCGTGCGCCGGCTCCTGGGCCCGCGGCTGCCCCCACCCCGCAGCCCGCGGGCGCGCTCCCGGCCGGCGGCCCCGCGGCGCTGATCCCGCCGCTCGCCCCGCCGAGGCCATGGAGGTGGTGGGCGACTTCGAGTACAGCAAGAGGGACCTCGTGGGACACGGGGCCTTCGCCGTGGTCTTCCGGGGGCGGCACCGCCAGGTGAGCCGGGCCGGGCGAAGGGCCTCCGCGGGCCTCCCTGCCTCCCGCCCGTGCGGCAGCAGCGGGGCCGGGCCCCGAGGGCGGCGGGCGGGGCCGCCGGTGACCGCGCTGCCATTATGCGCGCCGTCGGCCCGCGTGTTGGCAGGTGCCGGCGGGGTGTGTTCTGCGGCCCCGGCGCCGGGCAGCGCTCCACCTGCCCCGTCCGGCGGGTCGGCGCCGGGTCCGAGCGCCCAGACGGTGCGGGGGACGCGCGCCCCTTAGGCGCCGGGGGAGCCTTCGCCGACCTCACCGGGCCCGGCGCGGCGCTGGGTGGACGCACCTTCGGTGTGAACCCGCCCTCGGGGCCAGCACTGGGCACCGGGAGGCGGAGATCGCACCCCCGCGGGGCGCAGGCTGCTTTCCGTTAGCCCCAGGCTTTCTCAAACTCGGTCCCCCCTGTCCCTGCAGGGGTCCCTCCACACCCCGACGGGCGCCTGGGGTTGGCTAGGCGGGGTCCGAGTGGGAAAGATGATCGTACGCTCCCTTTTCCAGCCCAAATAAACTCGAAAGCAGGTTCAGCTGTTTTTATGTTTGTTTGTTTTTAAGTTTTTCCTGTTTTGAAAATTAGGGTCATACAAGGTTTTAAGAATTTAGAGAATTTGGAAAGTCACTTCGGGAGTGGACATAATCTTAGAGGGTTTGGCAGTTCTGATTGTTGCCAAGGGGCTGGCTTTGTTGCTTATCTGATCAAATGATAAATGCTGCTTTTCATTTGTTTTGAAAATCACTTAAAACTCAAGGAAAAAAAAATAGTTAAAACACTGCTTAATCCTGCCAAGCTATCAAATACTGTTTTCAGTTAAACATACTACCTTCTTTTATTATCCGCTACTCTCCATAACTTTAATAGTTGTAAAGTGTTCTCATTTCCACCTACCGCTGGTTACTGTGTGATCTCCATATTATCATTTAGTGGCTGTCTGCAGGACATGAGCTGTTACACTGTAAGTCATGAAATCACTTTCCAGTTGTTGGTTCTTTTCCACTTTCCCCCCCTCAGTGCTGTACATGAATTTGCTAAGAAGCATCTTTAAGCTTATAGATTTTTCCCCCATTGAATTATTTCCATTAAATAATTTCCAGAAGTAACACTATTTTTTTTTTCTTTTCAGAAAACTGATTGGGAGGTAGCTATTAAAAGTATTAATAAAAAGAACTTGTCAAAATCACAAATACTGCTTGGGAAGGAAATTAAAATCTTAAAGGTATGTTCCTTTATGTGATATTTTATACTGGGTTAAAACTTACTTTAAAATAAATGAATATATGATGACACACTGTAATTTTGGTAGTTGGATTCAAGATTGAGAATTTTCACCTGTTGCTCTTATTTTTGCATGCTCAGTTTTTTGAAACATTGAAACTGGGAAGCTATTTTTTTTAAAAATAGGTGTTTTTGGTTCTTGTCTAATGCTTAGAGTGATTTTTGTGAAAACTCCTAATTTCTTTCCTTCTTACCCCTGTTTGTTGTGTTACTTACTGTCTGGAGAGAGGCAGGCCTCCCTTATACATCACTGACCTCCCCTGGTGATCCCTCTCCTGAGACAGTTGGAGAACTGGGTGCGCTTGCAATCTTACTTTCCTTGCAAATTGAAGAAAGTTAGTTTCCTTAGATCACTCACAAGCAATGTTATCCCAGTGAGATGCTTTAAGGACAAAAAGAGTCCTAGGGTCCGATAAGTGCTCCTTACTAAGTACTTCTTGGAGAGTTTCAGAGCAGTGGCTCATTGAAGAAAGCCTGAAAGTGATGCAGTGAAGAGGCTGGTGTAGGTGTGCTTAACCCAGTGTGTCCCAGACTGCTGTGAACCTGGAATGCCAGTTTTCATCAACACTGCTGGGCTTTGGACAGTTCTTTGAGCAAAGAATTACACTATTTTCTTCCCTGCAAATAATATGCTTCTTTTAAACATTTTTCTATTTATTTATTTATAATCCTCACCTGAGGATATTCCTCCATTGATTTTTAGAGAGATTGGAAGAGAGGGAAAAAGAGAGAGAAATATCCATGTGAGAGAAACACATTGATTGGTTCCCTGGCTGCAGGAGCCTGACCAGGGCCCAGGCTGGAGAGGAGCCTGCAACCGAGGAATGTGTCCTTGACCGGAATCAAACCCGGGACTCTCCGAAGATGGACGCTCTATCCACTAAGCCAACTGGCTAGGACTTTTTTTTTTCTTCTTTTTAAATCTTCACCCAAGGAGTGAGGATATTTTTCCCATTAATTTTTAGAGAGAATGAACAAGTCAGAGGAGGAGGGGGGAGAGAGAGAGAAAAACATTTTATGTTAGAGACACTTTAATTGGTTGTTTCCCACCCACACCTAAAGGGAGCTGGGAATTGAACCTTCAACCAAGGTGCCCTTGACTGGGAATTGAATCCAAGACCCTTCGGTCTGCAGGCCCACACTCTAACCACTGAGAAAACCGGCCAGGGCCTTTTTCTTTTTTTAATCCTCACCTGAGAATATGTTTACTGATTTAGATAGGGGAAGGCCTGGTCAGTGAGGCTTAGTTGGTTGAGTGTCTTCTCTGCACTGAAAGGTTGCCGTTCCCATTCCTGGGTCTGAGCACATTGATGTCTCTCTTTCTCTTCCCTAAAAAAAGAAAAGTCAGTTAGGAGGGAGAGAGAGAAAGTGAAAGAAACAGAAACATCGATTTGAGAGAGAAACATTGACTCCTGTGTGCATCCCAAACGGATCGAACCCTCAACTTAGGTATGTGCCCTGGCCGGGAATTGAATCTGAAACCCTTCTTGTGCAAAGACAATGCTCCAACTAACAGCCACCAGGCAAGGGCATAATGTGCTTTTAAGAAGCACTTTGGAATTTCATGACCCTATTGCTGTTAGAAATTATATATTAAATTTAAGAGACCAGCAGAAAGTCAATAGTCATACTTACTATGACATTTATTTTGTAAATGAGAATACCTTGTTAAAAGTCTAAAAAACAGTAGTGGTGAAAAAATATTTGGGCCCCAAGTAAATTTTGATGAGGCACATTTCTTACTGTCTAGTAGATTGAATGTTGTAATCTACTAAAAGAACTGTAGTGTACTAGAAATAACATATATGCGTGTGTATGTGTGTGTGTGTACTTAAATTAATTTTTATTTGCATATTGAGATATATTAACATTATTAGAATAAATACAAATATTTTGAATTCTTAATTTTCTTAACAGGAACTTCAGCATGAAAATATTGTAGCACTCTATGATGTTCAGGTACCTTATTTTGGATTTTTTTTTTTAAAAAGCTTTCATGTCAATAAGGAACTTACATTATTTTCTATTTCCTAGACATTTAAGTGATTCTTGATTGAAAATGGCCTTATTCTCGTTGAAAATATATGTAACTTGAGTTATATACTTATTAAGAAATTGTTTAAAGTAGCATAGAGCAATAGGATAAAATAAACAATGTGCTGCATGGGTAAACTTTTTAGCAAGTGATGATACACTAAAGTAGTGTTGTTTTAAAGGTCAAGCAGAGGAGCATTGAAACCAGACCTAGCATTTCGCGATAAATGTAGGAAGGACTATTGTGGACTAATAAAAAATTGTACAGAGCGTTTTTCTTACTGCAAAAGCAATTTACTAATCGTAGAAATATTATAAAATAAATAAAAAGGGAACTGCTTATTCATATCCCAGATATATCTGAGATTATCACTGTGGCATAATGTAGATTTGCATTTTATTTAGAGGTGGAAAGGCTGGTTTCTGACGTTATCTTCTAAGGCAGGGTTTCTGTGTGGTCAAAATTACCCTTGGGAATCCTTTTAAAAAGCCCATCTTTGGAGCAGCTTAATATTTCTAGGGTGGAGCTGCAGAGCCAGTAGTTGGCTTATATTTAGAGGGCATATTGTATTTTAAAAATCCTCCTTTAAATATCACAATCACACTTGGCTAGTGTGGCATCCACCCTGTGAGATCCGTTCTCATTCCAGAGCCGCCAGTGCATCATTGACATGATGTCATTCTTTTGTTTTGCTGGACAGTTGATCTCAGTAAATGGATGGGTTATGTGATTCTATTATACTATATTTCTAGCTAGAATCTTTTCTATCTGTACTTGGATTACTCAAATTCATTCACTTTGTACGGTTTTGAGTGGCTACTATATGCTAGACATTGTTCTAAACTAGTAATAACCAGTGAGTAAAAGTCCTTGCTCTGTGTGTATTTAATGTTAGTGGGTGAGAGAAGATGGACAGCACTAGATGTACATTTTTCTCCAAATAGTCTTTTTTCATGAAGTCATACCACATCACAAAATATGAAACTCATGTTGTGAGATGTTTAGATTTTTCCTATTAGAGAAAAGTGCAGTGAGGGTAATACAAGGTGGGGCAAAGTAGGTTTACAATTGTTTATATGGAAAATAATACAGTTATTATTAATAATACAAGAATAAACTGCTTTGGGTAATCACAACTATAAACTTATTTTTGCCCACTGTATATACTTACTGAACATATCTGAATTTCTTTTGAATTCACTTTCTAGAATTGAAATTACCCGGGCAAATAGCAGGCACAGTTTTAAAGTTCTTTGATTGTAGAGTGTGATTGCTTTCTAAAAAAAAATTGCAATTTAAACTCCATGCACAGAATATGTGAGTGCTATGGGGAGTGTTTTATTATCTGTTTAAATTGGTATAACTCATTTCTTCATTCCAGAAATTCAAAGCAGCATAAAAACACAGTGGAAAAAAGTGTAAAGTCAAAACCAAGTTCATCTCACAATTCCCAGTGGAAGTGTCAGTTCTCCTCAGAGCTGTTTGTAAAACTGGTCTTAGTTTCTGTTGGTAGCGGGCATCCAGTGGTACAAGTCCTTACCTAGAATAAAATTGTTAAGTATTAACTCTTACTTTTCCAAAAAACAAAAAAAAAACAACAAAAAAAACTCTTACTTTTCCATTTTTGAGACGCACAGAAAATTTAATTGCATGCACAGAATATGTGAGTGCTGTGGGGAGTGTTTTATTATCTGTTTAAATTGGTATAACTCATTTCTTCATTTCAGTATAACACTACAGGGCTAAATTATAAGCTTATTTACCTAAAACCATTTTGTGGCTATTTGCATTGTTTCTTATCGTTTTCCTATTAGGGATAGTGCTGTAGAGAAAGCTATGTACATACATCTTTGCTTACTCATGTGTTCCTAGAGAATAGTCCTAGATGTGGGATTACTTGATTGAAGACATTACTACTAGAGGCCTGGTGCACGAATTTGTGCAAGGATGGGTCTGGTCAGGCCAGTGGTGGGGAGTGGCTTTGGGCAGTTGGCCTGCTGGCCCCACCCCCGATTGGGGTGTTGGGGCCAGTCAGGGCCCAGATCAGGCTGGTTGGCTGCCGCAATGTGCATCATAGCCACTGATCGATCTGGTCATACTGGTCTCTGGGCTTTTATTTATATAGATATTGCCTTCCAAAAGGTTGTACCAATTTATTTTGACCAATAATGGCCCATGTTTTAGTTTTCTTTTTTTACAATCTCATAGGAGAAAAATACCTTAGGTTTTTCTTTTTATTTTGTAAGTCATTAGTGCAGTGACCATCTTCATGTTTTATGTGTCTTTTCATATTTCTTCTGTGACTTTTTCCTGTTGCTGTGCTGGGATGCTTCAGTTGTGTTCATTTTTCTTACTGACTTTTGTGATCAGTATTTCTTGAGCCAGGAAAGGAAATGTGGAGGAGTATGAACAAAATAGAAATGGGCCTTGACCTCATGGGACTTAGAGCAGTGTAGTGGGAAAGAAGCAAGAAGCACACAGTTACTAATCCTCAGTGTGCACAGTGCTGGGAGGAGACAGGCCTGTAGGAGAAATCTGGAGGAACGTAGGGGGTTAGGGAGTAGGGCAGTCAGTCCGCTCTGTGCAGCTGAGAAAGAATGTTGAAACAGACTTGATGGAAGAGGGAGCGAAGGCTGGGCTTGTGTAGGGGGGGAAGAGCAAGTAGGGAAGCTAAGCTTCCCCAGCAGATGAAGCCTTCTGTGAAGAGCAGACAGGAAAGGCCAGGGTTTGGGGAACTGGAAGGATCACGTGGTAGGAGTGCAGGTGAGGGAGAGCAGTGTTAGGTGATGCTGAAGAGGGTCACAGGGCCACATGTGATCTTCATTCTAAGGGAGTGCAGAGCTATGGACCAGTTTGAAAAGCAGAAGCGCAATTTCATGTCTGCTACAAATCTTTGAGCATTCATGGCACGAGATAAGTATTGTCAATAGGAATACTTACATGAAGATCAGTGATCTGGGTAAATACTGTATCTATCTCTTGGTAATTTTTGGCACAGGGAAGAAAAGATGGCTCATTTAATAGATGATGCTGGCAAAACAGACATCTGAGAAAAAATAAAGTTGGACCCCCATTCTCATTTTCTAAAATAATTTCCAAATGAATTAAATTCTTAAATATATAAAATAACTAATAATCTTATAATAGTATTTAGATGATATGTATAGTCTAAGAGATAGAAAGATATTTTAAATTAAGGAAAGACATTCAGAAGCTATAAAGGTAGGGACATAAAAATTTAAAAATCGTATTTTATAGCAAATAATAACACTAATCTCAGACATTATGTTGAGAAAAGGAAGGCAGTTATATACAGCTACTGTATGATTCTATTTTTGTGAGTTTCAAGAAAATACAAAACTCATCTAGAGTGATAGAAATCACAGAAAGCAAAATGGTAGCTGAGATTAGGGCAAAGGAGCATGAGGAAACTTCTTTAAAAATAGGTTTTTATTAATTGTAGGGAGAGGGGGGAAGAAAGAAACATTGATAGGCTGTCTTTTGCACACTTCCTACTGAAGTCTGAAACCTGGACATGAGCCCTGACTGGGAATTGAACCCATGACTTTTTTTTTTACTTTTTTGTTGTTGTTATTGTTAATCCTCACCTGAGGATGTTTTTCCATTGATTTTTTAGAGACAGCGGGAGAGACGAGGAGAAAGAGGGAGAGAAACGTGGATGTGAGATAGACACATCCATTAGTTGCCTCCTGAATGCGCCCCAGCCCGGGCCTTGGATTGAGCCTGCAACCGAGGTGCATGCCCTTGCCTGGAATTGAGCCTGAGACTCTTCAGTCCGTGGGCCAATACTCTAATTACTGAGAGACGGTTTTTTACTGTAACTACGGAAGAGGCTGATGTCTTCTTCATGACTGTTAAAAAGTTAGGACTTAGACATTTGAAGAATTATGGGCAAGTCAGGTTCAGAGTAGGTGGGTGCTTTATTATCAACTTACAAATTTTAGGTATGTGATGGTTGAAAGAGGGTTTTTTCCCCTAGCACCACCAACCAGTTAACCTAATTCTGACACTATCCACCCAGAGATAGCATCGGATCACATAAGTTCAAGGCTCAGTACCACAGACTGCCCCTCCACCCTTTAGATACTAATGGCCAAGTTCAGGTTGTTGCCAGAATTCTGACCAACCTCTCTCTCCTTGGGTTCAGTTAATTTGATAGAGCAGCTTATAGAACTCAAAGAAACATGTTACTTACCAGATAATCTGTTTACTATAAAAAATCATTTCTCAAACATCTCCCATTTCAAATAATTTGGATCTTGACAAGTTGTTCACAGAAAAAATGTCTCAGTTGTCGAATGAAACAGGTTTTCTACCTGACGGCTCTTTCAAGCGGATACCTCAGCATGACACAGAGCATCTCTCAGCAAACAAGAGGGAATGTTTTGTTTTGTTTTTCTGGCAAAATCAACTATTTGCACAATTTTAAACCAGAAAGAGGCTACTAGAGTGCTAATGTTGCTAAGAGTGTGAAAGAAACTGATCACAGACAATTGAAGAAGTAGAAAAACTTGTTGATTTGTATAAGTGAAAAGCAGTGAGCCAGAGACAGCCATTTCTTGGGGGCAGTGCTAAATGAACCAGCAAAGATGCTGCATGCTGACCTGAAAGATACCTCTGGACCGGGTGCTAAAGTGATGTGTTTAAGGCTCGTAGGGGTGGTTTGATAAATTTAAGAAATGTTTGTTTATAGATTAAATAGTACATTAGGCATGGACTGTATATAAGAAAGGTTAAAACAGGGAATTGTTTGGGTGTCTGGAATGGATTAATTCAATTTACGTGATTTTTAAGGGAAAAACTATTCGGTTTTTTAACAAATCGCTTCTCAAACAACCTTCTGGAACGAATTAAGTTTGAGAACTGAGGTTCCTCTGTAACAGGAACTGCCAGATGGGAGCGA